CCCTGATTGTGACCCATCCAGTGTCTGAACAGGATTGTAGGGCAGGGCCACTAAGCTGGCTGCAGAGTCAACCCTGTTCTGCCACGTCCCAGCTGGCCTCCTGTCCCAGCATCTCCCTGAACTTGGCCAAGGAGCTGGTTACCGTGAGGCCTGAGAGGGTGTCTGGCTTTCAGTGAGAAAGGCAGCTTGGAGGGCGCCAGGAGACAGTTTGTAACAGTCCCTTGGGTCAGGCGTCCTGCTTTTCTTTCCTGCAAGGTGGCCCGAAGGCTGCCTGTGGGTAGTGCCCAGAGATGCTGGGCGTCACTGGTATTAAATACACGGCAGGGGTGGCCCCCGCCTCCCTCTGCTCTTCCCGTGTTGGGCTTCCACACCTCAGACTGTAGCATGTGCTTGGACACAGGTCTGCCCTGCACCCCCACCTGTGCATCTGGCCCATAAATCACTGTGTACCCTTGGCTAGACCACAGACCTCTTGCTGCAGAGCCACCTGCATGGAACAGACCCTACCTGTCCAACTGGGAGCCGCAAAGAGATTCTTAGCAAGGGCACTTTACTGTGCTGGCTAGGATGAGGCCATTTGAGATGTCCTCTCAGCCGTGTGTTCCACTCTGTACTCCCCAATCTCAGGATGCATGACAGCTTTGAAGATATTGGTGTTCAGTAGTCGTCTTTATTTATTTATTTATTTTTTTTTGGGAGAAGTTTTTGGTATAGGGCTGTGTGTGCTCACCAGAAAGACAGGTGTCACACCCTGCTGCCTCTGCTCTTCCCGTGTTGGGCTTCCACACCTCAGACTGTAGCATGTGCTTGGACACAGGTCTGCCCTGCACCCCCACCTGTGCATCTGGCCCATAAATCACTGTGTACCCTTGGCTAGACCACAGACCTCTTGCTGCAGAGCCACCTGCATGGAACAGACCCTACCTGTCCAACTGGGAGCCACAAAGATTTTTAGCAAGGGCACTTTACTGTGCTGGCTAGGATGAGGCCATTTGAGATGTCCTCTCAGCCGTGTGTTCCACTCTGTACTCCCCAATCCCAGGATGCATGACAGCTTTGAAGCTATTGGTGTTCAGTAGTCGTCTTTTTAAATTTTATTTATTTTTTATGGGAGAGGTTTTTGGTATAGGGCCGCGTGTGCTCACCAGGAAGACAGATCACCCCCAGGGGGTATGGCCATGCCGCAATCCCTTCTCCATTCTCCTCTTGGGATCTTGGGCATGCACACACATGCGCCCTGCGTGAGTTTAAGCCACTGGGTTCAGAACTCGAACCGTGGTCGACTACATGGGAGTCCAGTGACATAGCCATTACACCAACTGCTGGTCCCATGTTCAGTAGCCTTAAGTGAACTTTCCTTTTGAGTACTCAGTTTCCTCAATATGAGGTGTATGTGCCAGAGCCAGAGGTTACACTTTCAAATGCTTCCCAAAGTTCCAGGTGACATAATTTAGGAATCTGGGGAGTGAAGGACACAGAGGTAAGTGTAAGGGGTGCCCCTGCTCTGCTCTAGCAGGTTGTGATGCAAGAAGGGACCCCGAGGTTGCCCAAGGCACAGGGGACACCTTACATCTGGCAGCGATGGACCTCGAGATGGGTTGGGTGGGTCTTGCATGGAGCAGCAGTGCGGGCCAAGGCTGCAGCCGGGCCGACCAGCCACGGTCAGAACCCAGCATCGGAGCTCTCGAAGACTGCAGTTGGCCCTGTTCAGTTGTACAATAGATTTTTTTTTTTTTTTTGGAACATGGTGCTTAAGTCTTATCAGCACTTGGAAAACAGTTTCCTAAAGAGGGTTTCCTTTTCTCCTCAACTGATTTTTTTCTTTTAATTTGCCAGAGGGCATGTGCACTTGCTGGAGAGAGACAGAGCCAGAGAAGAGCGGAGGGAGGAAGATTCCTCATGAGGAATGGCCACGCCACAATCCCTTCTCGATTTTTCCCTACTGGCAGGATTTTGGGGAGGCATGCATGTGTGAGTGGTGTTTTCCTCAAGCTGCTGGTCCAGGACTCAAACCAGGTCCAGGACTCAGACCGCACAGATGGCCATGTGGGATCGAGCTCCCTTAACCACCAGGCCGCTGGCTGGCCCTGGTTTATTTGTAATTAGGCCATGATTGCTTTGAGGTCACTGTTTGGTGACCTTAAACATTTAAGAGCTTTTTTTCAAAAAGGCAGATAAGAGACCTTTGATGCCTCTCATTCCTTCTTCCTCCCTAAAGCAGCCTCCCTGATCCCTTTTGAGGGATCCCTTTCCCCCTACCAAGTGGACAGATAGATGGTGGCCCTTATTTATGGATTTCCAGTAGGTCAGGACAGGGCTGTGGCCTGGGCGTGGCCACCTGGGCTCTTAGGGTGCAAGACCTGGTGGGGGCAGAATGCTGATCCTGGTGACTCCTCCTCGCAGCTCCCCTGATTCTGTGAGCACCCCCCACTCCCAGCCAAGATCCCATATCCCTCTAATAACTCTTGGGCCCCTGTGACGGGGACTGCTGATACCTGGCTCTCAGCAGGTAGAAGGCCCCAGACCCAAGATGTGTTTCCATGCTGCCTGGTCCTCTCAGGGAGCTGCCAGAGGCGAAAAGCCTCCACGATCCCTAGCACAGCCTCTCCCTTTATCAGACCCCGGGTCGGAGATCCCCCTCTGTGCACGATGAAGGACGCTGAGGCACCAGAGGGTTAGGTTGTGTCTAAGATGGCTGCGTGGTAGAGGAAGGAGACTCTGCACTGAGTGAACTATTTAAACCAAAGAAACATCCAGCCCTGTCCCCTGACCTTTGGGTGAGAGGGTTTACTGCGATCTGCGGGAACTGCCCGAGCTGGGACTAACAGTGTGTAACGAGAAACCGAATTGGTGACGATCTGCTAGTTGCCCTGGGAGGACACTGGTGCCTTTTTGGGCCAGATGACCAGTGATCCTCGCTTTCTGCAGAGGGAGGCGCCTTTCAGTGAGATGGGTGAGATGAGCGAGCATGAGGAGGCTGGGTCGGTGGCCCTGGGCCACCCGGGTGACTGCAGGGCTCCCTTCCTGTGGATGCTATAGAGGCTCTACGCTGCCTTTGTGCTCAGGGCTGCAGCCCTCCGATCACAACAGCTGCAGGGGTCCCAGGAGACTCCTGCTCAATGGGCACCCCCACAGGGATCCCCGAGGGCAGGCTCTGGAGAGAAGAGGCCAGAGCCCTCTAGTTCTCAGGAAATAGAGCATTATTTACAAAGAACATATTAAAAGATACACTAGGGAAATCACCCCACCGAGGTGTGAGCTTCCTTGCCATTCCTCATTGGGGTCAGGGTCGGAGGAGTGAGCTGACGTTCCAGCAGATGGGACAGGGAAAGGGATCCCCTTCTGAGCACCCCTGAGTTTCTCCTTGGCAGGATGCTTGTTTTCAGGATCTGTCCTTTCATAGCTTCCAAACTTGGAGGGGCCAGCCAGGTCTTCTCCCAGGCTGGGGTACAGTGGGGGACGTAGGGGCAGGCCTGCCACCACTGCCCACGCTCTGGCCGGGGGTAGACACCAGGTCATTGTTCTCAAGTGGCAGATGCAGAGCTTTCTCAGGACAAAGAGGTCTGGTTTTGTGTTCCTGGTTCCAGCTCTGGGGGATGAGAAAGAAATGTGTCAGGGGAGGGAATACCCCAGAGAAGATTCAGGACGTGGGGGACAGGCCCCATGTACTGCGCTCAGGCGGGGGCAGCCGCTGGGTTTCTGCAGCAGGGCTTCTGCCAGTCGGTCGGCAGCACTGGGAGATATTATCCCATCAGGAAACTCTTAGGGGTTCTGTTTATGTGGTCTTCCAGGGGGGAGTCTAAGGGCTGATTTTTTTTTTTTGGGGGGGAGGTTTTTAGCTATAGGGTGTGTGCGCTCGCCAGACAGACAGAGACAGACAGAGAGACAGAAAACAAGAAATCACCCCCTCAGGGGGGATGGCCACGCCCCAATCCCTTCTCCTCCATTCTCCTCTCGGGATCTTGGGCACGCATGCACACACGCCCAGCGTGAGTTTAAGCCACTGGGTCCAGGATGCGAACCACAGTCAACTACATGGGAGTCCAGCAACATAGCCATTACACCAACTGCTGGTCCCTCTAAGGGCTGATTTTTAAGGTTCATGATTTCCTCTGCTCTAATTGCCAAGTCAGCTCCCATCATCTGGATCACTGTTGTTTTTTTCCTCCCTTTATAAGAATCACGATGCATAGGGACCCCTAGTCATGTGTGGGCAGGGTGGGGATGAGGTGGGGGGTTGCATGGCTTGGGGTTCTGGGATGCCAGGTCGGGCGGAGACAGGCGTACCTCTCAGAGTCTCTGAGTCCCGTGCAGATCGTAGTCACTGTCGGATGAGTTGTCAGGCTGGGTGGAGGAGAGGTGCAGGGCCCCTTCCAGAGCTGGGGAAAGAAAGGATGCTGTTTACAGATGGTAGCAGAGAGGTTGCCCTGCCAGGCTACACAGAGCCCCTCCGAGCCAGAGCCGGCCCACAGTGGGGCAGAAGATCACAGGGGCTTTATGAGCTAGTGCCATTCCCAGTCTCTGTTTTGATCAATTCAGCCAAACATCCACTAATGATGCTGAAGTCCAGGCTCCCCAGAGCTTAGTTGTTAGCCCCAGTCGGGGAGCCTTCAGGACAGGGCTCCTGCAGCCCACTTAATGGTTTTCTTCTGGCCCCAAGGAATCCAAGGGACCTCATTTACCATCCAGGCCCACAAGGCCCTGCAGGGAAATAGGCCCATTAGGTCACAGCCAGGCTGGGGTTAATGGCATCCCAGTGCATCCCTCTCTTTAGATGAGTGGTTCATTGTCTCAAAAGGGACAGCTGACGCTTGTGAAGGCTGCATCCTTTCCACACCTCTGCTGTGCTCTACTGTCTGGCAGGTGGTTTGATCCCCCTGCCTCTGGGGCCTCCCGTCCCTCTCTGGGCAATTACATGACTTACATGGGACCTGTCATGGTAGGGCTGCCCCTGCTCAGCCTTCGTGCCCACTGGTGCTCACCTGGGTACGCGGATACCTGGGAGTTCCTGGGAGGCTGACTGTACTCGTTATCCACATGGGAGGCTGTGGGGTTCTCAGCCTGGGACCGGACGGTCGCCGTGTGGTTGCGGTGGAAAGACACTAGTGGATGTAGGAGACGGTGTCGTTAGACTTGGTGCTCTGTCCTCCTTCCCCAGCAGGCACCCAGAATTTACGCCCCTGCTCCCATTATGTCATGGGGGAGAGGGCAAAGTACCCAAGGCCCATTCACTGCATCTCCTTCCCATTCCTTCCGGGGAGGTTCCTGCTAGCAGGGTCAGTGGCGAACCCAACTTTGGGTTGACCAGCAGTCTGACTGGTGGCGGGGCCTTTAGCTGGTCAGCCTTTACCAGGCAGGCAATTGGAGCACAAGAAATAAGGCAGAGATACTCTGTGCATCTCTCGGAGCCTAGGTCTTTACATTATAAAAAATAAAGACTGGACTACACAGAGCCTTCTCGAAGAACTTGGTCCTGGACTTGTGAAGGGGAAGACTGTGGAATGGGACGCAGGAGCAGGGCTGTGCTTCCATCTTTTAGGGTAGCTTGGCTTGGCCACAAGGAGAGAGGATGCAGACCAAGGGTGGGGGCTGGGCTGGCTGCACTGAAATATTCTAAAACTGGCCCTTGAAGTAGTTCTGTGTGAAACTAGCTTGGGCTAGCCATCTTAAATGTAGCTCTGCTTTGGATGGGAACAATGCAAAAAATACCCCTAAGGGGACCAGCAGGTGGTATAATGGTTACGTTGCTGGTCTCCCATGTAGCTGACCATGGTTCGAGTCCCAGACTGGGCAACTTAAAACTCAAGCCGGGCGCGTGTGCTTGTGTGCCCAAAATTCTGAGTGCAGACTGGAGGAGAAGGGATTATGGCTTGGCCATCTCCCCAGGGGGCTGATTTTTCTCTTTCTGTGTCTGTCTCTCCAGCAAGCACACATACCCTATAGCAAAAAAAATCTCTTAAAAACAAGCAAACAAACAAAGCCCATTAAGGTTCTGATAAGTCCTGAAAGAATCCTGTTCAACTTTGCTTAGCTCATGGCTTTCCGGATGGATCCATTCATGGGGTCCTCTTTTGTGGTCCCTCAGTTGGACAGTGCTGCCAGAGTGACTGTTGGGCACCACTGGTTAAGTCAACTGTGGAAATGAGGCAAGGGAGAGGGGACATTGCGGTCTCTGAGGCTTCAGAGGCAAAAACCACTCAGCCGTCTGCCCCGTTGAGGAGCCTCGGCCATGCCTGGTGTGAGCGTGTCTGTTGACCACAGTCATATCTCAGAGGCGCGGGGAGGTGACTGGAGGCCTCAGGCAGCCCCTGGCTTCATCCGGGACCAACGGATGGGACTCTGTCCCATCGCCTCCATCCTGGGGACCAGGGAGGACCTGCCTCCAGGGACACTTACTGTTCTGGTTCATTCCTGTGGGGCCGATCCACTGGCGCTGCTTCTTCTGGCGGACTGGGCGACAGAGGAAAACATGTCAGGGAGGGGCAGGTCAGGCTCAGGTGGGGGCAGGCGCTGGGAGGGAGGGACGGAGTGCAGGTGTAACTGGAGGTGGGGCTGCTGGGTTCTGTGCTCTGATGTCTCTCGAAACCTCAGCTTTCTAACTCATTTCAGAGGACAGCTGGAGCCAAGTAGTGCCAGAAGACTGCTGAGGGGGGCCAGCAGTGTCTGGTCCCCCAGAGAAATGACCACAGGTGTTTAGAATGAGAATTTAGATCTGGGCAGGTGCTCGGGACCCAGCGCTGCCCACCTCTGGGCTCTCAGTTTTCAGCCTCCCTGACCCCACTTCCTGGTCGCTGGAGAATGTTCTGAGTTCTGCAAGAACAACCCCCGGCACTCACAGGGGTGCAGTGACCATTTGGCTAGTGAGAAAGCTGCGGCTGGAGAGAGGAAGTGGCTCAATCAGTGTCATGGGGAGCTGTCAGTGGTTAAACTGGCCTGGGACACACGTCTCTTGCTGTCAGAGGCCGTGCTGGGGACCCTGTGGTCCCGCCATGGCTAGAGAATAGCCACATCCTTTCTCTGGCCTGTAGTGGGTCTCAGCTCAGCCCACATACAGGCACGTGGTTACAATTGTCCCGACGTTCTATTTCTGGCCAGTGGGCAGAGAGGAGGGCTGGGTGGTGACGCAGAGGGGCCCCTCCAACCAGCTATCTAGAGGTGGGACCCCCCCCTCCTCGTGGGACTGTAGTGCAGCTCCTCCAGTCTCCCATGGGGGCAGGGTGGCTCAGGGCAGTGGCACCCACATTTCTTCACCAGCTTCTTGTAGGCGAGAGGGCCACACAGGACCAGCAGCACCACCAGGAGCACCAGGGCCAGAATGATGCTCGCCACGGTGCCCGCAGCCAGGCCTGCTGGGTTTGGATCCTGGCCTGGGGGAGGGGAAGAGATAGGTCAGTCCCCACCCTGGAGGCTGCCTGGCTTCCCTGTCACCCGTGCTCATCCCGAGAGGCACCCGCATGTGCGGAAGGCAGTTGCCCACCCACCCGGCTGTCCCTCCATCAATCTCTGCAGTTCCCTGCTATCCGTCTGTCCATCTCATGGGTCATCTGACACTTGATCATCCAGCCATCACTTTGCACCCTTGTTATAAGCTATTTAACCTTCTACCATTTGCCAGTTATCAGTGATCACCTTGCCCTTATATAGCAATAGGTGATTGAAGACCAGCAGCCAGCCAGCCCTCCCGCCTATCATTCACCCATTCACTTATTCATCCATTTCTCTCTTTTCCCCAATTCCCATTTATCTACCCCTTGGTCTTCCAGCATCCTGGAGGGGTAGAACCCAGTAGGAAGGGGTGCCTAACAGTGGTCTGCTGTTGCCCCGCCTAGTCCCCTGCTCGTTGCTGTCCAAGCACCCTTGCTCTCTGACTCCTAGACTCCTCTCTCTCCCCCTCCGGGGCCCTCTGTGCAGCTACTGGGCCTGTCCTTCAGAGACCTGCTCGCTGGCTGGGTCCCAGAGGCCAAGTCCAGAACTGCCTCCGGCCCACCGTGGGCTGTTGGCAACTCACATGTGACGAACACCCTCTTGCAGTGGGATTTTATCTCCCGTAGCTTGTGGCACCGGGACAGCTTCTGCTGGGAACAGGCAAGCCCCCGGGAGGTCTTCTGGCTGGTGTCCAGCAGGCGGTAGGAGCTGGCATTGCCACACTGCTGCTCCTGGCACACCTCGTTCCACCGCTCCATTCTCCTGGCCCCGGAGCTGTCGCACAGGGCTGCCCACTGCAGGCCTTGGCGCACCTCCACGGCTCCTTCACACACGCCACTGCCCCCGACCAGGCGGCTCTGCACCTTGGGCTGGAAGTCTGGGGGGAGAAGCGATGGGAGAGTAAGTGGCAGGCTTACCTAAGCCTGCATGCCTGGCCCCTGGGGCCCCATCGCATGGCGAAGCTGGGGCCCTGGCAGTGATGAGGTAACACGTGGACCACCAGGCCTACTGCCTTATCTCCTTCCGCGTCCTCTATCTCTTCCCCTGAACAGATTCTCTCTCCCTGGTATCTGGGCAGCTGCCGGCAGCCATCCTGTGAGGCCGCAGCATGGGCACTTTCAGTAAAGGCCAGTGGTGCCAGCGCCATGGCCAGTCACCAGCCGAGGCAGGTGGAGGTGAGAACAGTGTGGGGAGGCCCACCCGGGTCTACTTTATTCCAGAAATGCCCTCGCATTCTCTTGCTGCTGCTTGGGAAGAGGGAAGGCTTTTTAGAAAAGGAAAACTGAGGGGCCAGCAGGTGGCATGGTGGTTAAGGCACTGGACATTCCCACGTGACCAAGCACGGTTCAGATCCCGGATCTGGTGGCTTGCTTTCTACCGTTCCCACTCTCTCTCTGTGTCTATC